CTTTGAAAATCGACAGTCCTATTGAAAACCATAATGTCTCCTATACAAATAGTAAGGATAAGCTTATTATAATATATTATTCTAAATAGTAAGTTATTATTCCTATAGATGTTCAAAAAAAGTTACTATATTGTACTATAGGAAACACAACAGTCAGGAGAGATCCTACTACCTTAAATAAAATAATCAAAATACCTATTACGGAATCCTAATTCTATAGGTCAAACCAAAAAATTAGCTAACTTACAAAGTTCTGCACAAATCTCTTCAAGACAAATTAACAATTTTAATATACTCAATACCGTTATTGTAGTACTTGAAGTTTTATAAATCATACATCAGAAAAAATGCTAATCTCAACAATGTGAGTGTTGATAAAATAAAAAAAATTAGGTTGTTTGCGGCAAAAATAACTTAAAAAATGCGAGTTTTGATAAAATAAAAAAATAGTCATTTTACTGCTAAAAACTAACCTCAAAAATTCAACTTTTGATAAAATAAAAAATGTTATTCTTCCATTGTGAATACACATGGCTAAAATAAAGCTTTGAACACGACAACACACACAAATTTTGTAACACAAAATATTAAATAAACGAAAACACAAATTACAACAGTAAAATTTAACGCTAAGCAACAAAGATTTCAAGTTTAATTATCGCCATTTGCGCTCATCTAAAGTGTATGACGACACACTGTGGGCACTCAATTGAACTGTCAATGTGACAGCCGACAATGCGCCAACCAGCCAGTCAGTCAGCCAACCAGTGAGCATGGCAATTCCAAAACACGCCAACAACTACTTCAACTCACTTACGCGCAGTGTGTCCTTATTATTTTACTGTCGATTATTTGCTTTATTATGCTTAAATGTAATAAATATCCACCCTCATTTACACTGCCACGAACTACTAGCTCCGCGCGACGATGACATAGCCGGTAGTTATGACTTTATTGCGACAAGCATATCATCCACCCACGGCCACGTTAAGTTACTCGCCCCGCATGTACTTACGTCGCACCAACATCGCTACCACGACTTATGCTTAAGTTCGTTGTTCAACTACTTCGACGACTGCAAGCCTTATAACGGTTAAAACATATACATATAGTGTATGTATTTATTGTTTTGAGGCGATGGTGTTGATGATGGGGCATAAGAAGCGTGAAATCGGGCGCATGAACTCACAAATTGACCATATTTGCAATTTGAACGCGTGAGCAAACGAGCGAATGAGTAAATATAAGCGAAGTCCCGCATCACCCGAATCCACCCGCACTCACACACACACACATACACCAACACCAACGCTAAGCAAGCTCATCTCACCACCGCGCATAGGTTATAGCGGCGTCTCGTCGAGCAGTGTGCCAAACTGCAGGCTATAAGCCTCGGGTGCGGAATTGGTTGTGTACGCAGTTAAAAGCCATTGTAAGCAGATTTAGTTTGTAATAAATGCCGTGTTTTAGTGGTTGCACTCCCAAATGGAATGGAATTTCAAATTGTCGTGTAACAACACTTCACAAACAAATTGCGGCTTGTCAACCTTCCGCAGGCGTCGCGACGAGTAAGCTTTCTCACATTTGCCCACATTTGACTTTTCATAAACGTTGATTTTTTGGCATTTCGCCACATTCATTCACTCACTAATTCTCTCAGTTAGTTAATTTACACTATGTAGAATGTTAATTTGTGCACAAATTACAATTTCCCGTTATCTATTAGCCACTAAATATTTTACATTGTTAATAATTGAATGTGAGTGCCATTTAATGCTTATCCAGACTAATTGTTAACGACACTGCTGTTTGATATATAAAAATTTTTATTTTTTTATTTTATATGTATGTATGTATGTATTTATGTATATGTAAAATGTTACTTGCGTGAACGCGCACATATCTGTTTTTTGTTTTTTTTTTATATAAATGTGCCTTACAAAAATGATTTCATGCATTTGGGCGCACACACTGGCTTATAAATATATACAGATTTACATTTACTTGTATATACAAAAGTGTGTGATTTGTATGTAAGCTTGTCGAAAAAAATTTCTCGTAGACTTTCCACCTCATAATTAAATTAATTTACGTGTATTGAGGTTGTAGAAGATTAATTGAATGTGTATCAACGGCAGTGTATTTAAATATTGAATAAAAACAATTATAATCCAGAAGAATGTGTATGTATTTTGTTTGAATCAAAGCAGCTAATAGATTTACCATATATTTTCATAAAATTTGCACTACATTTTATTTCCGGTGTTCTTTTAGCTTCGAAACTGCTCAAAACGCAGCAGAAATTAATTTGTTCATAAACATTAGGTTCATACGACCAATATTATGAAAGCTAAGTTCTTTTTTGTTACAAGAATATACAAAACTGTTTCCCAAAAATACACAAATTTTTTGGTATGGAATACATAATGCACAATATATTTTCTTTGAAAGTTATTATTTATTTAAAATAGGTTGCATTAAACGCAATACAGCGTTTGGAATGATCAAACAAGGCATGAATAAATTTTATTTTGTCATTTATTTGATTGTGTTTCAGCACCTCGGTTAGAGCTGCTTTTCATGTGATTTTCACTTTTCAAAACAGAAAATAGTTACATGGTAACAGATTAGGCGAATGAGGTTTGTGGTTGACGAGTGAAATCAGTAAAAAAAAAAATGTTTGACTTGATTTAATAAATTGCGCACAAATTGTTTACTTTACCCAAATCTTCAGATAAGATTCTTCAAATAGTGTTTTTACTCGTATTTAATCCCACAGCCAACATTCTCCTAGTAAAATTTGCATCGATATCAATAATTTCACGCACTTTTTCCACCAATTCTGTACTATTACTAGCTTCAGAGAGACCTGGAATTTGATCGTCATTTAAATTCTCACATCACATTTTAGTCGCGTGAACCACGAATGAACTTGAGTACGACTCATTCACCATAAAATTTTATCATCAACTGGTTTGTCTCGATTTTTTTATATTTAAAAAAAAAAATTATATTTGCTCCTTTTACAAATGAAACAATTGCACACTTTTTCTTTTATTGAATTGGCTGTAACTTTAACATTTAGCTGTATTTGGAAGATGATGAATGTATCTTATCTTATTTATGTAACAAAATTTCAAATTTAACACTTAAAAACCAAAACAAGTACGAAATAAACTTTCTAATGACACATAAATGCTGGTAGGAACACAAATTTTCAGAAATAAAACTTAAGTAAATCAACTTTGATGTACAACACGTTAGTTTTTTTTTTCATTCAGAAAAAAATTAGTGCGTATATTTATAAAAGTTTACTGTAGTCTATTCCACTATTTAAAATAGTTTAGTATACTCATTTGCACATTTCAATTTTTCCCATAATACTTCGCATATTAACCACTAAAATTGCTAATACATGCAAACGTACACAAACATATAAGTATACGTGTATAAGTAAATATCAGTAGTAGTTCAATTAAACGCTGCCTTTTATGGGCGTCTGTTTTTTCCCTTTTTTGACTTTGTACACGCATAACAAACCAATAGACTTGCTATAAACTGTCACAATGTATGGGCACAATTTAAATCAATTATCAAGCACCACTTTTCGTTCAACAAAACTCAACAAATTATTTGTTAGAATTACTTCTACAACTGTACGTACTTTTAAAAGCACCTAAAGTTACTACTTTTATTGACATGTTGGTTGTGTGCGCGTTATTTACAATAATTATGATAGTAATAAACCAAAACTTATCACCCGGAGTATTCGCTTGCCTTTTGAAATTGAGAATCAATCAATTTTATAGCTGCGCTGTTAAGTGGAAATGTTGTTACATATCAATTATTATTAACAACAGGCAAAGACAGCGCTTTATCGCCGCATTTTAGCAACGTATAATAAAAACATATTGTTATGTCATTAAAAATATAAGCAAATACAAATTTAATAATTCAATCATATTATCATATATGTATTAGCAAACATTTGCACAACTAAATTTTTTTATTTTTAAACATTGTCAACTTTATCGAAAGTTCAATGTTGTCTAGAAATATGATTAAGATAATATTTATTGCAATACAAGTGGCGTCGATTAAAGCACTGATTGCTGAAATAAATAATACAAAATTTTAAGAATATTTGAAATTGTGTAGACACAAAAATAGAAATATTCCCATGTGTAGGCGTTGCTGTGGAAGTATTTTAAGGTGATAAGAAAGTGTATTACTATTTATGAACTACTTCAATTATTTTTGATAACTGAAAGTATGTACTTAAGTTGCCTATTGACAGATTGGCCTTTGAAATTATTTGTTGATTAAATTTTATTTTTTGTTTTATTAAATTGTTAAGTGCATATATAAACGTATATATTAACTGATTATACAGTATGCTTGTCTAAACAGTCTCGTCTAACCAAGCATAAACGCGATGTTTGTTCAATATATCAATATATTACTACAACATGTGCTATAAATATAAAAGTTATATAAATAAAAAATAAATAAGAGTATTTAAATTAGAAAACTTTACAAACTCCAAGTGTCGATTGCAATTTGACAAATTAAATACACACAGTTTCGCAAACTGGGAGAGGGGAAAGGTACCAAGAACTTTGAGTAACGAGATGTGTTCTATAACATTTATAAATTTTGCCCTAGCGTCATTGTTATAGAGTTAAACTGCTAATGGGTAATGGTACAGAGTAAGCGGAACATCATCCTATACGATACATCATCGAAGTTAGCCACCGCTCACAACAGTTGGCATACGTGTGGGCCGACTATGCTTCGTAGTGGCGAGAGAAAAAAACGTATACTTGCACGCGCACATGCCTGACACAGATGTTATAATATAGATACATCTGCACATACTTATATACCTCCTAACAAATGCACTACTTGTAGGCATGTGTATAACAAAAATAATAACAAGCGTTTAATACCTTTCGGTTAATAGATTGTGGTTTTTTTTTGCAATTTTTAATATTACTTACCATTGATTTTGACAAATTGTGTAATTGTGGCTTTTGTGGAATTATTAACTACCAGCTGTCTGTGCGGCCGTAAAAATAATATCCCGTCAATTACAACGTTATTTGTGAAATGTGGGAAAGCACGAGTAAAATGATGATTGCTTTAATTAATTTTGTTAGCACATACACACGGTACTTGGTCAATTTGTTTAGCTTATTGACTATATGGCAATTGCACAATTACTTTAAGAGTTTATAGTTAATTATTCACAATGTTTATTTCTTTAAAAGCTATTTTTATTTACTTATTTGTACTTCATTTACACTTATAAATTTGTGCTAAGAGTGATGTACTTTACACACCGATTTCATTTTACGTTGGACAAACAAATGCAGGAAATTGAGATATATAAGACTTTTGTAGCTACTACTAATCCATAGTTGCTAACAGTGTTGCTCCGCCCAATGGCGAGGAGGAATGCGGCGTGTCGAAAGCTGTTTTAGGCTTGGCCGCTTCCCTCCTTTTGCAATCGGTCTTGAGAATGGTATTGCCTTTAAAGTGCTTTGTTCTCATGAACACAGAAGTGTTTCGTTCAAGCGCGTTACCTTTAATTTATTTTTTGGCCGTTTTTCACACTTTTGGTAAATAAGCACTCGTAGTAACGTTAAACGCGTGGTTTCCAAGAATTTTCCAAAAATAATTTTTTTATAGCACTATTAATTACTAAACACAAAAACAATATTCAACTTGCAAACTGTTATTAGTCCGTCGCCCGTTTGCTATTTGCTCACTGAATGCATATACGTTCAATACTTTTTCGCTTGTTTGCTTTTCGCCGTCGCTGAGCACTGAAAAATGCTAAGGCAGATGGGGGAACAATTTTCTTTTTGCATACACTTTGCGCACGATATTGAGTTCTAACTTTCTCACAGATTTTCGACACTGTTTTGCTGTGATTACGCGAATTTTTTACAATAAACTGAAGGCAATATATATGATAAATGTTTTTCACTAAACTTTCTGAATTTTATTACTTTCGATAAGTAAATAATTAGTTCTGAACGGGAGCTCAAATTTTCTTCGCGCACTCAACAAAACAGGGCGACCATTTTGAATTTTCTACTCGTTCATATGCCACTCGTTGTTACGTGACAAGGTAAGTTGGCTGTGCCTGCGTGAGTGCGTTCGGCAATGTACTGAAGTTACCTACACAAACATTTTAAAATACACCTAATTCTTTATAATTATTGATAATTAACTGCGAAACTAATATTATTGTGAGGAACCTAATGCCTATGAACTGTATATATGATACTTTCAAAAAAATTTTTGTCGTTTTTTAGCACTGAAGTAATTAACTAAGAATGATGGTTTTTTTTTACATTTTATGATATAAAAAATTTAAAAACGCTATTTTTCTTTCTTTCAGATGTAATGATCAGTGTACATAAAAAATTACTTTTGGATTAATGTGTTATTGAAAAAAAAAATTGATCTTGATGTTTTTAATTCTTTAGAAGCAATTAAAATCTACCCTGATTTTGCTATAATATGGTCCCCCTTTGCGAATGTCAAAGTGAAAGAGAATACGTTGGGGAGAGTGGAGTCAATTCTTGGTAATTTTAGCGCATTTGGAGCCGTTTCAGTTGATTTTAGTTACTCTTTATGATTAGTATGTGTTCGCGGTATTTTTAATTCACCGTATATTACAACAAAACGTACAACTTTAAAAATTAAAAGTTTTATTAAAGGTAAAATACACGGTGAACACATGTATATGTGTCCGAAAACTAAATAATCAATGGATATTCCGGACATTGGCCAAATAAAAGTGCAACAACCTTGAAAGCGCGATTCTAGTACAGCCGCTGCGGTGTATAGAAATGCACACATACTACAAAACAACTTAAATGTATATCTGCCTTCTTAAGAAAACATAAACTTAATTAACATTTTCTGTGGGCCGGCTTGATATCACACAACAAACACTCCCAATTTGTCATCCAATTGTTTTACCAAAAGTTTACTTTGGACTTTCGGTGTACCACCAGTAATTGTGTGTATAGAAAGAGTTAATCGATGTGTAAATAAGTGATATAATATTAAAGCATTGAAAGTACAAACCGCCTTATAAAGGAAAAAAATCAAATTCATTTGAACATATATTTTATTAGATTACATCGGCACCCCAAGCAAAGGCGGTAATCATTATGGCGGAAGCGAAAGTTGAAGATCTTGGTAGTAAGTCTATTTGAAAACTTAAGTATGCCTAAACAATTAGCTTAATATTCGATTTATAAGATAAGTACCAGCGAAGAAAGTTAAAAAGTTAACGATAATTATTAATGTTTTATTCGCCTTTTATGTCCATACATCCATGCATGTGATTGAGGATATCACCGTCAGCTGATATTCTTATAAAATTTGTATTTTTACCTAATTTGCTACGGGAAGTGGAATATCCCACATTTATTGATATTCAATTATTGATTTCGTTTGTTATTTATTATAAAAAGATATATTATTTTATGCCATTACAAATGATAACATAATCATTGGTTTGAATTTAGGCAGACGAAGCACGCAAACGTTTTTAAAGCAATGTACCAGCTTTTTTCAGATAATAATTGTTTTTCTATGCCTTTTAAGAAAATTATGTGAATGTTGAGCGAAATTGATCACTTTTCGCACTTTAGATTATTTATTATATTGTATCTCTCTTTGTATGTAGGTATATATAGATATGTATATATTGTAATCTGATTGTTTTTAGATAAGCCAAAAAAATGTATATATCATTTAATAAATTCAGATATATATAATTATATATGCATATACAAATTGTTGTATACATATTTCACTTTGATGAAGTTTTAAACATCCTCCCCCTTTGCGCTTGAACTTGCCCCATCCATAAGTATGTACATATTCATGACAAAAATGTTTTCAAAAAGTGTAAAAAGTAAGAAAAAATGAATTCGTTTCGCATTAATGGCTTTAACGTACTATGTATCGCTCAAAAGTGCATACATTTATTTAAAAATACTGCAACAGTCATTATATACCCATAAATATTGTTGGTATTGCATTAGGTAATAATGAATTTATTATGTTTTTGAAAAATAAGGAAAAACAGCAATATTGCAAACTGTAACCTGAAAGTTTCAGTAAACATGGGCTTCTAGTTGTTTATGGACTTGCATATACATATATTGCCAGCACTACTGTTTACATATAGACAGTAGTTTCCGTTTCCGCATCCTGATAACAAAGCGCAGTAGTGGAAATGAGAATGAATTTTTGTACATATGCTTTTCTATTTGAAATAATATCTTAAAATAGATATTTTACCTTTACTGCTTTACATATACAAACATAAATGCATATATATACATATGTGTGTAACTGCATTGAGCCTACGGTGTGCATGTCTTTGCCCTAAAATACGTTATGATAAAGCCGTTTGATATTAAATGTTGGCAGATACACTCGTACATATATATTTTCTAAATAATTACCAACTTATATATGTTTATACACACAAGTATGAATATTTGCATAAACTTTGGAAAACAGAAAAAATTATCCAAAGCATACTATAACGCTCATCTCGATAATAAATGTTTCGCTTATTAATCTAACTATGTATGGAAAAAGACTAAAGGCCCATTCTCATAAAACTTCCCGCGCTTTGCGTGACAGTTCATACTGAAACAACGAAACAAACAAAACAAAAGGTATGCCACAATGAACGCTTTGCTTTCAGTTTTTTTCTCTAATAAAAATGGCGACTATCGATCCAAAATTTCGTACACACCCTTTCCTCCCCAGAAGATGCAGATATGTCGAAATCGCCGATATTGGACCAAAATACCATAAAGCTGTCATACAAACTGACCGCTCAAAATAAAGTTAAACATCTTTTTATATAATTTTATGTTAAACGAATTGCATCTGCGAAAAGTATAATAGCTGCGGTGCAGCCGAAGTCAACGTTTTTTCTTGTTTAAAAGTAATTTTTGTATCTAATATAAAATTAACATTTCTAATCGGGCCAAGGTCAAATAGCAAGTCATGAAACTTTTACAACACTTCAATATTTTCTTACAACATTTCAACCTCAAATAGCGGTTAACCGGGGTAATTGCCGGAAAATAGCTGTCAAGACATACATATATAAAATAAAATATGTACATGTAAGGAAGTGCTAAGTTCGGGTGTAACCGAACATTTCATACTCTTGCAACATGCAAGGTTCAAAGCCGGGGAAATACCTTCAGGTGCATAAGGTTTGTTAGCTAAACGAAAATCATTATATGCAGTGCCTTACTGGGGGTTTGGGTAATTCGTGGACCAATATCACATATTTTCGGCATTAGACTATAGTATTATATATATAATTTTATATGCTCAGTTAATTTCGCAAGTTATCTTACTTATGGACCAATATATACGGTAAAAAGTATTAATCTATTTATATATTTTTACATATTATAAAAAGAGTCTCTCTAAGTTTCATAATGGTATCTCAAATAAAATCGCCAATATATAAGGAGCAAAATCAATCAGATCTTTGAAAATTCTGATATTAGCTATTGAGGTCTATCCATTTTAAGCACAAATATGCACCGTTATTAGAAAAAACACTCTTTCTCAATTTTATTAAAGAATTTCAAATCACAGGTGCCCCTCACCGCGTACATATGTATTTTTACTCAAGTTATCGCTTGCACGGATGTAGAGGCAGACAATCACTCGCATTTCTACTTGTCTCGTCATCCTGTTTATATATGTACGTATATATCTATCTCTATTAGTTTCAAGTGATACAAACAACCGTTAGGTAAACAAAACTATTATACTTTATAGCAATATGTTGCAAGAGTATAAAAATTGTCAAAGCGGATAACCTCAAAGCAACGAATAGAATTAATAAATTTGTCGAAACGCAAACAGATATTTACATATATAAATGAATAAGAGTATGTGCATATATATATATATACATATATATATAGTACATATGTGTGTAAAGGCAAATATAAATTTCAAAGTTCAGACGCTAAGTTGCTTATGGACGTCGTTCTGTGCTTTCCCACACTTTCAATTTACAGCAATCAGAGAATTCGCACACCACGGCGTATACGTAATTCAAGTGAAGAGGGCAGAGAATCAACGGAAGCAAGTAAGCCGCTAACTATAAAGCGCTGATAAGGCTGATTCTTTGGCGCGCAGCCAATGCCGCGCATATCGCGACTTACAACAAACAAACAGCACAGCGGCATTGAGTGCAAGCGCCTTGTTGTTGTCGAAATTGCTTTTTAATACTTTCGAAAACATGTTCGCACCTCTATGCAAATAACGAGCTTTAGCGCCATGTGCTATGCTATAGAGAAGGAACCAGAAAAAGCGGTGAGCGGTGCATAACGAAAAGCAAACACTAACACATATAAATGCACTTATTTACCTGCACGTATACATACAATATTATATATAATATCTTGTCCAAGACATTTCCGTAAATTTGTTACGTGCACTGTGTGGCTTGGCTTTGGGCTATAATACATTGCTTAATACCGGAAATCGCCTTGCATAAGTGCAATAACAACAAATATGTATATGCAATCATAAATCCTAATGTAAACTATATTGCACTCGTCGACTGAATGCAATTCTTGCACACAACTGCAGGCTGAAGATGTTTACATATTATGCACACACACACACATATATATAATATATATATTCGTACATACTAAGCTTTCCTATCGGCCGTTCATGCATGCGCCATCGTTCAGGTGTTTTTAGCTGGCCCGTTTGCACTTGCTTTCTTTCCTCAAATTGCATACTTTAAATTTGCCGCCGCCATATTTTATCCCTAAACACACATACATACATATATACATTCCTACTTTGCACAAAACTATTTTCTTTTACTCCGTGCTTATGTCCGTTCTTCATTCTTCGCTATTTGCTCACAACAAACTCAACAGAGTAAAAGTTTGAAGTAACTGGACTTGCAGTGCAACGACCCAGTTTTGGCACAGTGTAAATTTCGCCCTAATAATCATATATATCTACATATGCAAAAAATATTTATGTCCTACATTGCCATATTTGACTCAGACCGAAAAGCAGTTATTACTGTTCAAAAGCGTGTATACAATACCGTTAGAACACAGAGAGAGAGAGAGATATAGAGATGCATAAAGTAGTGTAAAGAGGCTGCAAGTAGCTTGAAGAGCAGTAGGGTCTCAAATTAATTAATCCAAAGTATGGCAGATAGATACAGAGGCCCCAGAAAAGGCTTTTTGTTGGAATGAGGATCTCCCAAGTTTATATATTATATTTTATTTCCGGTCTTTTTTTCATCCACTGCGGCAACAGCCTTTTTAAACAAAGTTCGGTAAAATGTTACACTTTCAATAGACGATACTCTTTGAGAATACAATTGCTCCTCTACCTTCACGTTTTTTTATGTCAAAAGTATATTTGATGGTTAGAGCATACCTATATCTCTCATTTCACCATCAAATTTGACACAATAGGGAGAAACGGTCAGTACGCTCGTCTTGAGTCAGTGATTAGATCTCGTTATTAAATTATATTTTCGAAAAAATTTAAACAATCGAAAATAATCGTATTATACAAACTTATATCTATAAAAAGAAGAAAAAAAATTGTAGTTATCGCCAAAATTCTTTCGGATATCAGGTAAACGAAATATTTCTGCAATATTTCGAATAAACGCTGTTAGATTGACATTAAACTCGAGACGTAGCATACATTTAGGCACATTTTGGAATGGAGTACATATAATAAATCAGATTTTACCGAAGTTTCACACCTTATTCTATTATTCAGCAACTAGCTAGCTCGCCAAACTTTTTACTGTCTAAAAAAGGAATGGTAAACCCCCATCTATTTAATAATTATTGAATCTTCCAGATTCCACTCAAAAAAACAAAATTAAACGCAGTAAAAAAGTAGATTTTTCGTCATTAAATGTCTCTAGCTTGCTTTTAATGCTAAGTATATGCCACCAAAATGCGCTTGTCCTCGATAGTGCAAAATCTTTGTGGCTTACAAGCTTATTAGTGTATGTAAGTATCTACATAGTGTATACCACATAGGCATACTTACGTATTTCTAAAGAAAAATGCGTCAGATTTTCTGCGTATTGACGGACTGCTTGTTGTGCTAAGCAATTTAACATAAATTTGTGCTGGAAATCAGCCTTTTTGTGTGGTGAAAGGCAGCCACTTTGGCGTTGGTAGCTGTCTCCTCAGGGTGGAGACAAAACCATTTTATAGCCGCTATTTTTCGCGTACAAAACATCGTACACATACATACATACAAACCGATTTTTTTTGTGTAGGTCTTTATGGAGAAAATTGGGCGCATAAAAATTACAAAAAGTGGGAAGGAAAAACGCTTTTCCTTGCTTTGTGATTTCACGTCGCAAATCGACATACTTTCAGTTATATGATGGGGCTACTGAAATATGTATGCGGTATTCGTTGAATTTTACTTGCAAAATGCTTTTAACGCTAAAGATAATTGAATTAAAATTTATTGTAGTTAATGATAAAGAACAAAAGAATATATTAAGACGAGGAATTCTAAAAGATCTTAATTCACTTATGATCGGTTTGAAGGTTGGCAAATGCACAAATTACCATCTGAAATACAATTTTAGTATCACTTTTTTATAAGCAAAGAATTTTCTTTTATTTTATGTTTCTCAGACACAAATTTTTGAAGAACAAAGAAGAGTCGAAGTTTTAATGCATATCACATAGCATAAAGTGGTGTAAAAAGATCTTATCTTTTGAACGATTAGTTTGAATGGCAGGCATATGATAAAGTGTTCTGATCTGAACAATATGTTCAGAGATTGCAGCGTTGTCTTCGAAAAGAGTATATGTTAGGTGGTCTCAAAACCTGTGGGATTCATTTGCGTATATACAGAAAGACGGTCATGGCTAAATCGACTTAACTCGTCACGCTAAGCATTTATGTATGGGTGATGTCAAAAATTTTCGTACAAAACATTTTTTTATTTTGTGTTCTTTGAGGGAAAATAGTGAATCATTTTGGGGTTATGAATTTTCAAAATTTCAAAATTTGCTTATACGTAAAATAACTACCGACCTATTTTTTACGCTTTCTTCTCAGCTTTCCAACGAGATATACGTTGAATTGTTTCGACTTTTTTTCTATAAACAAAAGATACATTTTTATAAACAATAAATTTTTTCAATTTGGAACTAATTGTATTCAGTTTTTTTATTGAAAAGTGTACATTAGACTTTTAAGATACTAATATATAAATTTCGGAGTGGACTATACAAAATTGTAATTTTGACAAATTTTTGAAATTATTTCTTTCGCGTTTGCGGCTAGCGCAGTGAGCTTTTTTGTATTTTACGCGTGCAAGTTGGGAAGTAACAATATTTTGCCTCAAAGAACACAAAAAAAAAGCTTTGTATGAAAAAACTTTTAAATTTAAATTTTCCATGGAATGACCCATATACCTTCGAGTGTTACAAACTTCATGGCAAACTTAATTATCTCTGTTTAGGGTATAAAAGCGATCTCAAAACATTTCAAAAATAGTCTCAAAATCCGAAAATTTTAATATTTTGTCTAAAATTAAGTCGTTTAATGATGATCGATTGAAGAGTATGATAGTTACAGAAATCACTAGAATATAAAATGGGTTTCATCGGTTCATTCCGGCAGGAAAAAATATATCTGCTCATAATCGTATAAGCCCCTCTTACTCTATCTCTCTATCTCTCTCTCTCTCTCTCTCTCTCTCTCTGTCTCCCTTAATTTGCCTTCTTTCTCTTTCACTGACTTTGATAAGTTTGTCTGCAAATATTTTATTTATAGTTAGTCAGCTAACTAATAAATAATACCCTCAAACGTAAATAGCAAAACGATTACCTAGTCAATTTTTGTGTTCTATTGTGTTCTATGAACACACACACTCATTTACTCATTTCGTTTGTTATGTAATGAATTGCCTTATCTAAATTGTCATATGCGTTTTTTTTTCTATTGTTGGAAGCTAGATACTTTTTTTGACACATTTCTGGAAATAATTTGGTTGCGATATCTTATTCACTTTTTGATTAATCACTCTTACGTATACCTGGAGCTTCGAGAAGAATGGAAATATTTTTATCGTAATCGAAAATCTTACAGTTGTCAAGATATTAATTTGTATATGCCAAATTAGATAATTACTGGAAAACAATTATGGAAAATAAAAAAATAAATATAGAACGTGTGTTAACGTTACTAATGTTTATATTTCATAATAATAGCTGTAATATTTTCACGTTTATTTTCACTTTTCAGTGCTGCTAATCAATTACCAATTGACCAGATCTTTATTAGCATCACATCGTTGTTATCGGATATCATTTATTTGCAAAAGTATTATTATTTTGTACGATACTGCTTTAACTCTACACGACATGTTCAACCAAAAAATGACAATTTAATTTTTAAGATTTGTTATTTATAAAAAAAATTTCATTTCAGTGACAACCGAGCCACTCCTATCTAAAACACAATAAACAAATTACAACTTTTTTTTGGCTTGAAGTAGTTTTTCTACTTACTACTTACCCTACAATTTTAAGAACTTTAATAATTCGATTCCTGAAAATGCAAAAATCGTTTCTTCTTCTCATCGGTCCGCAACCTGTATAACTCCAGTTTTGTTTCGATCATTTCGAACGAGTTATCTTAGAAATAGTTGTTTTTTAAGTCGACGATAACGATTTGGTCAACAAGAAGAAGTCTCTACACGATATAAACCTGCATTTTTGCTTCTTAATTCTCTTTTCTTTCTGGACGTCCAAAAATGTTTGAAGATAAGGGACTAGAAGCATTACTCATTGAAGAATGTTGCCAAACACAAGACGAGCTCGCAGCAGCCGGATACATTTAAAAGCAAGGAAATTTAGCGCCATGTGAATTGAAGGAAAAAGCCTTTTGAATAATACAGACAGACGGACGCACGGACAGACAGTCACCCGGATTTGAACTCGTCTCTCCATCCTGCTTATTTATGTATATATACATAACGCTATATCTACCTCAATTGGTTACCGTTAGGTGAACAAAATTATTATACTCTGTAGCAACATGTTGCAAGAGTATAAAAACTAGCCGTACATGTTCTGAAATGTTTACAGCTGCTGGTACTCTTTCGGCTCTACGTAACTGGAAAGGACCCATATTTTTATCCTGCTAAAAGCTGCCAACTCGGCAGCAATTCTCAAATTATTTACGGAAAGTCTCTGCTATTACAACAACAGGCTCTTTCAGCACTCACTTTGACGACTATTGTACATACAAGTAGTCACTTTTATATTTATAACTCGCTAATCTTTCTTGCATTTTTGTACCCCAAACAGGGTAAACTAAGTTTGCCACGAAGTTTGTAACACGAAGAAGCAAACGTCGGAGATCCTATAAAATATGTAAGTCTATCATTGATCAGAATGACGAGTTGAATCGATGTAGCCATTGTCTGTCAGTCGATCTGCATATACGCAACTAGTCCCTCAGTTTTTGAAATATCGATCTGAAATTTTGCACACGTCTTTTTCTAACCAAAAAGCTGCCTATTTGTTGGAACCGCCGACATCGAACCGGTATAGCACTTAGCACGATCGGAATAAAGCGTTTGTTTGGAAAGCTTTTTCATTTGACGATTTATCTTCAAGAAATTTAGCATGGATTATTGTCCACGGCAACGATGTAATTTTCCAAGAAAATGTTCAGATCAAATTAATACTATATCATATAGCTGCCATACAAACTGACCGAAATATTTTCTGTGAAGGGCCTTATAGCTTCGTTGCAATAACATGTTTTCTTGTTTTTTTTCCGATATTTTAAATCAATTCCATCACGTATTTTGTACACTTTGTATATACGAGTATTGTATAATATACAAGCATAACTGTAAAAAAATAACTGCAAAAAATCGCTTCAAATGAATTTTTATATGCAATTTATTTATTTAGTCATTAGTGTTTACACGAATATCATATTTCCCTCTCAGTAAATATATAGTTTGTAGGTAAAATAAATGTAAATATTGTTTATTTTTGTAATATTCTCACAACAGCGCGGATGAGAATGTCAACACGGCATGCAAGTGTGAATAATCTCGACAACCCGACAAATGCCAAGCGAAAACGACGCTATGCCGCTTGCTAATCAAAGGCATGACCAGCGTTAATTTTGTTAATACAGAATGTTGCATTTGCATGCTTTCGATCTTAAGCTCAGCTGCCCGAATGTTTGTTCGTAATCGCCAGTATTGGATGCATAGGATACATTGTATGTAAATATTTGTGATTTACAGTGCCGTCGGGAAAAATGAGTTTTTTAGTGCATTTTTTTGTTTTTTTGAAGAAGCATTTTATTTAATAGATAAATAAGAAATTTACATTTACAGAATTTAATTTATTTAAATAAACGGTGATAATCGTTGCACTGGACGCCATAGCTGAATATGAAATTAAGAAAAGGTCACTCAGTAAGATATAAAATTTTTCCAATGTGCAAAATGCCTTTATTATAAAACTAATTATTATCGACTTTCTTGTTCAATATTTTGAAATTTTTCCAAAACACTGTGAATCTTCGAGGCTATCATAGCTATATCATATATATAGTATTATCTCTATAAAAAAAATAGCAGAATCAGTCAAAGGCCCCGTTCATATTTTCAAATATAAAAAAATATGTAAAATACCTTAAGATCATTGAGTGTAAATGATCTTTTAAGCATAATTTGCTTTAATATCAGACAAAAGATTTAATGTATTTCATGTAAAACATTGGTGAAGTCGGGTTATTAGCGCCCAAACTCTCATTATAATTATTTCTGGCTTTTTCGGCGTTTAAATGTGTAGATCAGTGAAGAAGATATATCACTGAAAGTAAGCGTGAATATTTCGTTTAACATACTTATAAAATGGTTCGGTGCGGCTATGGATTAATGTCGGTCTATTTGTATAACTTTCCCCAGACTAATAAGATGAATATAGTGATTTGTGTGAATGAAATTGATTTGAATGTAGGTGTTTCGGTTATAGAGCAAGGCGAATATATATTATTCAACTGCAGCCGAACATAGTCCTCACTTATTTTTGGTTTATTTGCTTTTTTTTACCTATATTGAACTCTGTGTTTTCTTTCAAAATTCTAAATATTTAGACAGCTTGCGTATGAAGATATGTACATACATATAAGTCTAAGGATATCTACTTGCACAATGCCCTACAGCTGCAAACTAACAAAAAAAATTATAAAATTGTTAAATTGAAAATCCGCAAAAGATTGAATGATATATGTTATCAGTAACAAATAATGTAAAACATGTCAACAACCTCAGCGGTGAAATGAAATAGCGATGCAAACCGGCACGCCTACACGCGCACATACTCGCACCTTTGCTGAAGCTTTTGTGCCGAATGCTATTCTAGTACTCTTTGTTTTGTTTTTCTCTTTTTTTTACCTTCTTTTTCCGTCAATGGCATTGTAAATGCTTAATTGTAACATCAGCAATTCAAAGAACGTTGCTACCTTCACCATCTCTTACACATAGTATGTATACCACCACACGTGCATACATACATACATATGTATATGTATATATGTATGTATGAATAACAACAGTCAAAGCGCATTGTTTTCATTGTTTGCTACGAGCTACACTAACAACAAATAAATACTATATAGTTTATTGTTGCAACACGTTGCACGAAGCCCCAAGGGTCATTTTTAGTTTAGTTAGTGGAGCGCTTAGCCTCTCGTTTAACTGGTAATATTAGCTGCTGGTGTTAACATAAGTCTTTGCCGACAATTGATTTAAGTCACAACAAATTGATATACATATATGTATATACATATATACATATATATGTACTTACGTATATTGGCAAGCGAAAATGGCGCTGGAAGTTCTATGCTACGAAATTTTTTTGATTTTACGAGGAAATAAATTCTCAATTAAATTACGACAAAAGAAAAAAATAAAACCATTTTATTAAATATTTCACAAGAATTGGGTTTCTGAAAAAAAAAGGTATTTCCTAGTTTTATTTTTCGATAATTTAAATAAAAACTAAGCCCCATTGTAATAGACAAATGTTTTGTTTAGGCCGTTCAAAGACGGAAGTAAAGAGGGATGAATATTTATCACCTTGTTATACCATTTGCTCAGAAAATCAATTCTCATAAACCCCGCAAGGCAAATTAAATAAACCTTGTGTTGAACAAGTATTTTATGAATTTCATCATGTAACATCGAAAACTTTTAAGATTCTAATAAATAACAAATTTTTATATATGTATTTGCAAAACAATTTTATTAAAAAAAACAAAAATTCAAATTTGGATATCATCGTTAAAATGACATGGTAGAATTACAAGTAGTACAGTATGGACCAACTACTACCGAATGCATAATAACTGTAAACGGAGATTACATAAGAGCGAGTATAATAGCTAATACAAAAATATCTTTAAAATATATCGATTTATCAATAAACTACGTTTATTGAAAATGAAAAAATATCGATTATAGATAAAATAAGAAATTATCGGTAAAAGTTTTGTAATTAAACGTAAAACAAAAACATCAGACCAATCGGATGTCGATTACAAGTTCCACCAGGAGGCAAACCTCGCTGAATTAGTTCATTTGAATAATTAAATAAATAAAATTTGAGAATATACTTTTTTAAGAAAATATTAGAATTAATTAAATAGTCAAAAATTAAGGCTCTTTCAATAGGTCTAAAAGAGAAAAAGGATAAGGAATTGTTGTGGAAGAGATTCTGAGGGTCACAGCAGGTACTAAAACCACATTAGGCCGGACTTTTTTTAATCAAATAAGGATTTTTTTCTTTAATTTAGATTGTTATACTAACTACATCAGCTCATTTATAAATTTTGATGTTTTCAGAAGTTAATTAGTTGCAAGAAGTTCATCGAACTGTAATGTATTGTCTGTGTAAGCGGAAATCACCAAATTGGCATCGGTCCAATGAGAATGAGTACTGCACAGGTCTCCAAAGAAAGCCATTTTTGTTGGATGTCATATTGTTTGATACTATGTATTATCAGCAATAAGGTGATTTTACTAATTGATGATCTGTGATTATTGTATAGTATACCTATATAATTTTGAAACACAATAATTGCTTCCTTGCCTTCTGTTATTAACATAGGTTGATGTGTGAAATGACAAGTAGATTAAAAAAGCAAGCAGATTTTGAAATTAACTCTGAACGGCTAAGAAATTTCACAAAATGGACAAAATTATGATTTTTAATTGTAGTCATATACTAACGTTTATAAATTGATTTAAGCTTTTAGCTTTACTGTTTTCCAGTACAAACATGTTGGAAACGAGACTCAAAAAAATGCATATACATATGTTCAAAAATTATATATAATCCATAGTTGTTTGGTCATAATCAAAATAATAAAATCTTTATTTTTAAATCTGTAAATTTTAATTGCCGCAATTGCTGCGAATTAAGATGAATGAGTTATTAACTCGTAATTTCCTTTGCAGGCATCTTTTATGCTTACATTGTTGAAGCTGTAATACAACTAACTTTAATTTACACAACTTTATAAGTGCCAGTATATTTTTGGAAGATCCACTGCAAGCTGTTGCAAACTAAGCCAATTAATTAATTTTACTCAATTTGGAAAAGTTCATCGTTCACGTGCCGTTAGCTGCATGTATACAGCGGTGGCTAGATAAATAGCACTCAAATATATTTAAACGGCAAACTAGTGCTCAATATCGCACTAAAACCAATCGGAAACGAAAAGTTTGATAAATGTCATATCAAAATCGGTATTTAATCATTTTTTTTTACAGATTTTCGCTTTGGTTACATCAACTAAAAATGGTCTAAAAAATGTAATAAATCTAAATGATAGCAAAAGAAGACTGAGCTCACGTAATCTTGAGAGTTTCTGCCCAAATTTCCTTGCATTATAAAAACTAGGAATGTAAGAAAACTGTTAGTTAGGTAATACCTTAAAGGTAGTGTATATGTAGGTACAGGTTAGGTTCAATTGGTATATCTCTCATAAGATTCACATCCTATGAGTTCGATTGTAATATGAAAGAAAAAATACATATAAAAGAAGTACGTGGAGTGTTCTTGTATAGGCTCAACAGTCATACAGTGAGACTAAAATCCCTCACAAGTTTTCCTCTAATACACGTCTTCCCCTCTACCGAACATAGCAAGTAATATAGTTTATTTAAAGATAACATGAAGCGCTTCTTTAAACAAATAACAAAAATTGTGTTCAGCTGTAATTAATAACAGCAATATTGAGTATTTTACATCAAAAACCAATTGATTCAATATAATAATATAAAAAAAAACTTAAATATTTAGTACTTCGTCGAGTGATCGTAATTGGATAATAAAACTGCGCATCTGCTTTGCATGAAGTGCAACAAACGCCTACATTTTTTGAAAGAAATGGTCTTCCACGCTTACTTCACAACACTCCAAAACTGCTTCGTCCTCGGGAACCAAATAAAACAATTTTCCTTTCGTCGAACCACAATATGTTGTACCATTTTGCAACTGACTAATGCAGGTGCTCTTCAACAAATTGAGCACTGGCTGGCACATGTCGGGGTTGAAGTAGAGGCTACTTTCTTGGACTCCTGCCGAAAAGTTTAGCTGTTATACATTTTTTTTTCTTTTAGTGGAGTCAGTAACACTAAGGCTTAACTTATCTTTAATTTTTTTTTTAGGTATGAAATGGCTTTTTTCAGGCCAAAACCACAACTTTCCTCAACTGTTGCCGAGGAAGAGCATATTTTCGTCCCCTTTTTTAAGGAATTTGCTTCCATTTTTTTCCATTCGCAACTATTTTGGCAGAACATCCGAACAAATATTCGATCCACTTGTAAGATTTCCCTTCCCTAACAATTTTTTGATGAAATTTCGTTCTTTTTTTGTACAGTGTCTGGCACGCCCTAGTTTTTGCAAAAAAAAAAATATTTTAAAATTTCAGGAGCGATGTATTGTATTATATGTGTATCGCATTTTAGTCAAAATCTTTCAAATAATGTGGCTATTTCCCTTGCACTGCTATTTTAAATCACAACAAAAAACTACAATGTAGCATAAAAAATAACGGGACTCCATGAATCTGATAAGTATTACAAAAATCAATTTAAACACAGAGTGCCAATATTTGGGCCTTTATTCTGGCACAGAAATAATTAAATGACAACACACTTTAAAGTGTAAAAATAACGCTATTTTAATTTTCACAAGCCACTGCTATTATTTCGAACACAGTTGTACATCAGCTAAATTTATGTTGTATTTTGGAACCACGACATCAATAATATTACTTCAGCCTGTTGGAATATGTAAACATAGGCTACAAAATCAAAAGTATCTATCCATAAAGACGCCACTGTACCTGCACACAACAACGAGGTAATTTTAGCTGCTTGCGTCCGTTAAATTATTGACATATAATAACCAGTGCAAACAGCAATTGACTGGCATAAGCAGGTTAACAAAATACGAGCAAATAGTATAAAAGGAAAAATGGAAAGTTTTTAAAACAAAAACCGCAAATGAGCTTTCAAACAACCCTCAGGGAAATTGACAATTGCGACATTATATGTAATTATTAGCAGAGCATAGTGAAAATATGTTTAAAAAAATATGAAACGTAAAATTAAATATATATGTCTTAGTATTCACTTTTCACTTGAATATAATTTGTAGTATCGGGTAATTAATTTCCCAGTTTATTAAAATGAGAATTAGTCAGTGCTTGGTCAGAGCTCCGGTGATAACATTAAAGCGTTTCTTAGCCATGAAATATGTAACTTGGTATTTGAGTGATCGATTGGCTTGCGCAAAAT